CACATGCCTTTCACAAGTTTCTCTGAGGGCTCCTTTCAGCGAGCCCACTCCAACCCCATCTTCAAAAAAAAATAAAAAATATTCATGGGACATTTTTTGGCTTGTCTGGTTTTGTCGGACGGACCCACCCGTTCGTCTGGACTGGGCATCGGCCTAACCTAGAATATTTATATATTTTTAGTTACTTTTCAACTCAGTCAGACATATGTTGTGGTAGGCTCCAGTGAGGGCACTAGTGCAGACAGTGATCTGCTTCCCTGATGAGCGGTACAGATAATGGTGAAGGGATAGCTGACGATAGGAGACAAACACGGCGGGATATACAAAGGATTCCGGTCGTGTTTGAGGTTCTGCTACCAGGAGACGAGAGAAGGTTCTGGGCCAGAGCAAGGGCCCGACATTTGCAGACTGCTAGGGAGGCAGCAGCAGCTGCGGAACAAGTGTTAGCGGCAGCAGCAGCTCACGCTGCAGCGATGGCTACATCTGCAGCAGCCTCTCAAGGTCAGCAGACGTCAGGAACTTTATCTAGTTCCTCCACCTCATCCAGTGGGATGAGTGCAGGACCTTCCACAAGTCAGATGGCGGGCTCGCAGTACAGCTCGCCACCTCCATCCACTAGAGAGGCCATAGAACTCCTGCAAGTGGAGTTAATTCGCTTGCGGTTAGAGAAGGAACTTAGGGAAGCTACCGAAAGAGAAACTGAGATTAGAAATAGGAAAGCCAGATTAGAGAGCAGAAGGGCGGACAAGGCTGCAATAGAAGGGTAATACGACTCGACCATACTTGCAACCGCACGAGCCGCACATTCGTGCGGAGTTCCGTGCGGGGGGTGCCTGTGCAGAATCACGCAGGTTTTTTTATTATTATTATTATTTTTGTTTTTTTGGGGGGAGGGGGATGGGGGAGGGCGTATGACAGGAAGCTGGGGATATGGCGAGTAGAGGGGGACATGGAGGGGAGGAGGAGGATGTGGTGGAGGAGGACGATGAGAATAACGAGGATGACGACAAGGAGAGGAGCAGAGATGGGGGAGGAGAAGAGATGGACGGAGGGAAAGAGGAAGGGCGGGAGGAGGACGAGTGGGAGGAGGAGGAGACATGAACAGAGAGGAAGGGGAGGACATGAGGAAAGTAAGGAGACGAGGAGGCATGGAAGATGGCGAAGTACTAGGAGGAGGAGGAGACAAGGAGGATGAGGAAGGGCAGGAGGAGGACGAACAGGAGGAGACATGGAGGGCAGGAGGAGGACGAAAAGGAGGAAACGAAAAGGAGGAAACGAAAAGGAGAAGGGAGGAGGAGACATGGAGGACGAGCAAGGTGAGGCAGCAGTCCTGCAAAAAAAAAAAATTCATCCCGCTTATAATTTTGGCGGGGGGKCTCGAACGCACCGTTTCGACCCCCGGCCTTCTTTTTTTTTTCGGAGGGGGGTGACGGATCGTTCCCTGCACATGTCGTGCGCCGCACGGGATCGGTTGGGCGTGTGCGCCGCACGTCGGGAACTGCCCGCACGAGGTGCACTTGCATGTATGGAATCGACCCTTGACGACACGAGTAAAATCCTCAAGGCGGGTATGCTGAGCATGGACGCTTCCATGGACAGCAAACTGGATGCAATCCATGATACTCTTGACCAGATACTGCATGCCATGCAGACAAGAGGAGGACCACATCCCTCCTTTGCTGGTGGGCCCAATGTCCGGCCGCAGACAGCATTTCCATCGCCAGTAGTAACACCAGCGATGACAGGCCCATTTGCCACCCAATTTGGTACCCCACCAAGTGGTACATCAGCAGCAGCAGCACATACTGCTGCTTCTTCATCTTCAAGTCCAGCTGCTGACGCTACGGGGCAGCAGCCAGTTCCAATTTGGTACCCCACCAAGTGGTACATCAGCAGCGGCAGCACATACTGCTGCTGCTTCATCTTCAAGTCCAGCTGCTGACGCTACGGGGCAGCAGCCAGTTCCACAAATGGGACTTATAGCAGATTTGGTACCCCAAGACCCCACTGAAACCACCCCCGTCTTTCTCAAGAGCTAAGAGGGACGAGGCACTTGACACATGGTTGAGGACATTTTCAGTGTCGGTTAGGGCGAAGAGGACGTTGCAAGATGAAGAGGTGATCACGGCCGCCTCATACCTTGAGGGATCGGCAACAAGATGGCTAGATGGAATAATAGCATCTAAGGGATACGGCCGACGAATGAATGATTGGGCAAAGACCCACACATTGGAGAGTTTCATGGCATTGGTTGAAACGCGATGGCACAACCCCCGACAGGCTCAATAGGCCACTGATGTGTTGGCCCGGCTTGATACCAGAAGGTACAAGTTCGTACATGAGCTCACCGCCACCGTGGAGAAACTCATAGTCGTCCCACGTGTCCACTATGATCCACAAGTCTTACTGACCATGTATCTTCGATGTCTTCCCACATACATCAAGAACTTAACGGTTGGTGAGGCTAGCATCGAGTATCATACTCTTGACTCATTTAGCAAGAAGGCCTTAGATTTAGAGGCCAAGCTAGGAGGAGCACAACAACCTGCTACGGACGGGAGGAAGAAGAAGCCCCACAAGAATGGAAGAAGAAGGGTACTCGGTTGATGATGGTTGATTTCGATGGGAATCAAACCGAGCCTAATGATCTCGCTGATCTTGAGGAGGAAACAAAGATGGTGGCGAGGAGAGTGCAGAGGGTGGCAACCTCGCCGCCATAACCAAAGGAAAGGCAACTGGTCGCGACAAGGGCGGTTAGCAAAAGAGTCAGAGGCAGGCTCAAAACTCAAACAAGATAGCGGCTTGGGTGAGGGCTGGCCTGATCACGATGTGTGGAAGGACCGGCACTCACGAGGAGCTTGCATTAACTGTGGTGAATATGGCCATCACTCTCTCAAAAGATTCCTCCTAAAGATGGTTTTGGGCGATCTTTCGTCCACAGTGGTGCCTCTACGAGCTCCAATCAGGGAAACGCATCTGGCTAGTAGACATAATAGATGCTTCTACTCATGATGAAGTGGTTGATGTACCCTCACCACTTCAGGAGTTGGCCGAAGCTATTAACTCTCTAGTCATCCCACAAATGCATCTGGACCAAACGACACTCTGTTCATAAGTACATATATTCTATAAGTATATGTACTTAATAAACTTATCTTCTTTAGGTTCTCTATATTTAGATTTTATTATTGATTCAAATTCTATGATCCATTTAATAAATAGCCTATTAGATTTATTCATTGATATAATTCATTTCCTAAACGTAACGCCAAGATACCGGTTACAAAGGCACCTAACAAAATTAAGATAACTTGATTGTCAGATATAGGCATTTTTTTCTCCATTAAAAGTTTATGATACTTTAATTTTCCAACTACTGTTGATATATAGAAAAAAGACATACTATATACTATATAGATAGAATAAAATAATATAATACACATGTCATCTATAAGAAGATTCGTTACCAAATAGAATACAGAATGTATTATCCATACTAATATTATATATATTATATACAATAATATTGACTGAATGTATATATTAGTAATGAATGTATAGAATAGTATAATTATTTTTATATAACTAAATGATTATTCTTCTAATATATAGATCTACTTTTGAATTAGATTAAAAATTTACTAAATCAGAAGCAAAAAAAATGATAGAAAGGCACTTTCAAGTCAAAGTTATACATGTAAATAGTTACTATCTTCCAAAAAATAATAATAATAATAATAATATTGGCAAGAAAAAAAGAAAAAAAAGAATAATTTTTACTTTAAAAGATTTATTTGATACTTGGGGCACATCGAGGTGCGCTGCACCCCGCACGTGCGCCGCACCGTGCACCGCGCACGACGCACGCGCACGGGGTGCAGCGCACCCCGAAAATAAGGGGTCGACCAAAAAAAAAAAAAGTTGCCGAGGCGTGTTCTGGGCCGGAGTGGGATGTCGCGTGACGAACCAAAAAAAAAAAAAAAAACAATTTGAGGCCGCGCGGGGCCTCGGAAAAAAAAAGGGGGCGAGCTGAAGTTGGTTTCTTTTTTTAAGTTTTGAATCCGGAGTGCTGCCCCTCGCTGCGTAGATGAACCCCGGTAGTCCAGCTTTGTGCCCTTCGCGCCCGCCGTGCGTTGCCCGTTGCCTCCACGTCTCCTGTGCAGCAGCAGCAGTCGAAGGCGT